GATGATCCACTTGGCGGGCCCTAAGGCCTCGATGCCGCTATTCGTGAGCAGCGTCGGGCAAACGGCCTTCTTCGCGGTGTTGGTGGGGCTCGTGGTGCCCAACATCGATCATTGGGGGCATCTAGGGGTGAGTCGTGCAGTGTTCTGTTTCTTTGTTCTGTCGACCTACTCAGTCCTCCTCTGAAAACTGAAAACAGTCCGAAATACCTCACCGCGCGGGACGAGTCGATCTGATGGTTCAACGTGGCGGGTGTATGTCGAAAGTCATTGTTTTCCCCTTCGCGCGTCCCCTCCTGTCAAACTTGAAATCATGTCGCAAGTTTTTTGCAAGGGATTAAGAACTTCTCCCTCGCGCTGTTACTGGTTGGGTCGAGCAGTGGTACGATAGGTCGTCAGCGATACCACCGTTTGCGTGCTTGCTTCAAATCTGTGCCACATGCGCAGGCTACGTTCCCGAGTTCGTTTTTTTCCCGTTTATGATGCTGGCGTGCCCTCTCTACTGAAGCAGTGGTAACTATCGGGGAACGGAGCGTAAAATGTTGATGTTGAAGGGATGCTGCACTCTAACGTGCTCAACTCTAACGTGTAGAGAGTAGCCCGTTCGGTTTAATCGGCTGAGTGTCCTCAGGTTGCAAGTAGAAGCTCGACCGCTATCCCCGCTGCTGTACCGCAAATGTGAGGCAAGTATCTCCTCTGCCGTGCCGCATCTGCTCTCCACCTGTTACCTTGGTCCTGTCGCCCGGCCCCCACCGCATGTGCGCGCTTTTTGATATCGGCGGGCGTTCTTGCCATGCCGTAGGGCTTTGTCGGCGGTGCAGCGTTGACTCTCCTCATCCAGCCACGTTCTCCGAGGTGAGCAATGCAGAACTCTTGCCTTTTCTCTACGCTCACCTCCCGACGCTTCGTGTAACCCTCTTAGAAAGAAGGGTAGAACAATGTCACACCAATGACTCCGCGCTTCCCAAAATCATCGACGCCAACTGAACTGTCTGTGAACAAGCCTGCTTGTGTCCTTGCCGCACCTATCTTGTTATTGTGCACATAATACCTATTCGGTTCATTCTGTATAGTTTGTATGTGTTTTCGTCGTGTTTATTATGGCGACAGTCCCCCCTTTTTCGTGGTGAGACGTGTACTTCACTTTTCAGTGTATTTTTTTCGTACAACTACAACTATCCAGGGTCACACAGGAGGGGGTAAACACCAGGGCTTTTTTCTTCTTTGTATTTCTTTGTCATGCCCCACCTTCCTCCTGCGGTGCGTGCTGAATTTTTTTTTTATCGCGAGAACGGTCCAGGCGTCCCTTTCCCTCGTCAACGGTGCTAACGTCGAGGTTTCGTACTCACGAGAGCTTTTTATTTTTATCTCGCTTTCACCCGCACATTTCGTAAATTTTTCACCCCATGGGGATTCGAACTCACTATCTCTGCGACTAGCGGATTACGAGAATACCATTAGACCACCGGGGCGACCGGTCGTATATTGCGTACATGACCATTGACAATTTCAGCGACAATAAATGCCTCCATTTTCTCATGTTCCCTAATCCTTCCTTCGGCAATCTTGTTCCAAGCCTAAATAATATTTAACAAGAATGCATGCGTTCCTCGCTTGTTCGCCATGCCCCGCTCTCTCCCTTCCCTCCCTTGCACGCGCGCGCCCGCTCCTTGTCGTGACAGGAAATGAGGAAATGCCTGGGTGACGTGGATTTCTCGCGGGCCAGTCTGACCAAGGTTCTCGTTGCGGGCACGGTTGAGGCGAAGGGGGGGGCTGAGTAGTTCTTGATTCGAAGGAATATACTTGGGTCGCCAGCAGACTAAACACCGTAAACGACACAAGATAATACCCCCCCCCCCGGTGTTTGCCATCGGGATTGGGTTTTCGTCTCTTGGCAAAGACGTTGTAAAACAAGCCAATTCACTTCGTGAACTCGGCAACCAGGTTACCGTTTTTTT